CTCTCTCTCTCTTACACACACACACACAACCTCCTGATCACTCGGAAACAGTGCCACAGTCATGTTTTTTTTGAGTTTATAGCGAATATGACGACAAAATAAAAAATAAAAATAAAAAAAAACCGGCAGTCTGACAACAACAGCCCCGTCCCCCTCTTCGTCCCTCTCCTCTGCCGCAGCGTGGCTGCGGCGGGTCCACTTGTAAGTTGAAAAGAAGAAAAGAAGTTCATTTCAGTTTGTGCGAGTTCTTTGACTGATCTTTACGGTAGTTTTTTAAGCGAGCGTAGCCCACAATGTAGTTGCCCATAAAAGGCGGACGAGATGAAGGTGGGTAGATCTCCATCCTCCCTCCATTTTGATTCCATGTTAGCAATTTGTTTGTCTTTTTCCGTAGATGACCTTTCTTTTTTTCCCCGCTGCAACACACATTTCTGTACCTTCTCCCCGCGGCGCGCAGCTTGCCATGGCCGTGGCCCCCACGGCTGATGCTCCTTCAGGGGTAGGAATTTGCCAACTGTCCCTTTTTTCAGATAAAAAAAAAAGAACAGGGGGAACTTCAAACACAAAAGGCAAATAACCCAGCCCATGTGGCTGAATGACTTACCCATAAACTGTTGACAAACAGGCATTATAGGTTTGAATCCTGCTGAATCAAATACTAAGTAAAAAACATTTCTGTATAATTATGCTGTATAATTATAGGGCCCCCTTACATTGAGATTTGGTGACATTCGGACTCAGACTTGACATTTGGACAGAGACATAGTGGGGGACTATTTTTGGATCTGTATTGACGACATTTTGAGTTGACGACATCTCTCCTCCTCTCCCCCCCGTTGTCTCTCCTCCCTCCTCGTCCGTGTATGTTACGACCTGGGGCCTCTTCTGTGTGTGTAGTGCCAGGTCGCCACACACACTGTATGATGATGATGATGATGGTGATGTTCTTCAGTCTGTGTGGTGACATTGATTGGGTCTGATTATTGGTATTTCAGTCTTCTGCTGTGCTATCCTTATTGCATCTGTGAGAGGTCGGTTCTCGGGTCTGATCTGCACGACATTGGTATGCGACAGAAGCCCCGCTCCACTCTGCCCACGCTCGAGCTCCGACGCCCCTCTCCTCCTCCGCCGCTCCTGCCCCCCCCACC